CCCCCCCCACACACACAAAAACGCATCTGTTTTTTTACAATCTAGAAGATACTGTTTTCTATTTAATTAATATTCATATTTTGACTTTACTGTGTTAAAAAATGTAAAAATAACTTTATTAAAATATGTCATACGAAATAAAACTAGAAGGTAAAAGAAGAGTAGCAAGTTGTACACAATAAATAGTTACATAGTGAATAAGATAATGTATAAGATATTGTACATAGAAACCTGTGAACCTGGTACAAAACAAGAGTTGTTGAACTTGCTCATTGGACCCACACAGTGGATTTGTGTCTTTGTCATGCTTTTATTTTGGTGGTGTCACACCTGCTGTCTGTCGCCACAAGAGAATGATGTCAACTTTCACCCACATGTCACTCAGCACCCAATCCTGTGAGGAACAGGAGGAAACGTTTCTACCACAGCCACGTCGGACACAGAGCTGTTTCTTTTGTTGATCTGCAGATTTCTCTGAAGCTCTCCGCCAAATAATTCACTTTTAGCTGTTGTTCTTTGTTGTCTGGCTGTAGCCGTTAAGCTGCCGCGGTCACGTGCCGTTACGCTCATGCTGCTTGAACCTGGTTGTGTTTACATTCTCTCTGGAAGTCACAAAAGCCAGAAGACGAATGGTAAACACGAGAGGCTGCAGCTGTGCAGGGGAAGAATTCTCCAGCCCTGATCAGTCGAGGCTCATGCTGTCACCCACAAAAAATAGTGCCATTAGTTTTAGCATCTGGCAGGTGCTCAGGTGAGGCCTACAGTGTGATAACCCGGTCCGGCTGTGAGACCCGGGGTCCTCATCAGACAGGCGAGCCTCCTGCTGTCACTTCTGACTCCGTCTCCATCCGTCTTTGTAACCCGAGAGCAGCCGAGTCTGAGTGGTGTGTGGGAGTCAGACGGGCGGACTCACAGCGGTCAGGGACGAGTGGTGAACCGTTGAACCACAATGCAGGGGGGGTGGGTGCTGATGTAGCACTGTTTACAACCATGAATATGTGCTTCCTCTCTCGTTGTGTGTTGTTGGACATCAGAGGATGGTGACGAGGACACAAACCTTTCTATATCACATATCTGTGTGTATAAGTACACCTTGTGTCTAGTTCAGTGGTTAACATCCTGGTTCATTCCAGTTTAATTCCATTCCAAATGGCGTCAAAATCGATCTTTTTTGATCGACACGTTGCACAAGTCCAATAATGTTTTCTCCCCTCCTTCTTCTTTCGTGTCCAGGCTCAGAGGAAGGAGGTGTTTCTCCAAGAGCGATACGGTCACTACAGCCTGACCGACCCCTTCCTGGCCCTTCAGAGGGACTTCGAGAGCGGTGTCCCCGGAGGAGACAAGGAGCGGCGGCCCCTGGGCTCCAGCCCCATCTCCGTGCTGGAGGCCGTCATGGCCCACTGCAGGAAGATGCAGGAGCGCATGTCGGCCCAGCTGGCCGCCGCCGAGAGCCGCCAGAAGAGGGTAAGACACCCGGGAGGAGGAGGAGGAGGAGGAGGAGGAGGAGGAGGAGGAGGGTTAAATTCACATATTGAATGTAACTAATTAATCATTAGTGTAGTTATCAGCGATTGGACCCACAGCTGGACCAACATCACCATGTTTAGTGCCTTGCAGCTTCAGCACAATTACATTTTTTCAAAAATGCCTCATTCGTGAGCGTGTGTTTCTATAAATTCAGTTTATTCTGCGTGAGATTGTCATATTTAATGACGGTAAATACAGGAAGTGTTTACATCAGCATATGTGGAGGAGAGGTTTCTTCTGTTTGACCACAGATTGTGTTTATTTATACACGACTCAAATCTCTGTGGCTGAAAGTCTTCGGAGGAAGAAAACTGTACGCTTGTCTGTGTGTATTAATGTTTTCGCTGTACATCTGAATTCAGAGGATGGGAGTAACAGTGTGTGTGTATAGTGTGTAGGTCCTATTTTCTGGTGTGTCATTTCTATTTTTGATGGTTGTGTGTGTGTGTGTGTGTGTGTGTGTGTGTGTGTCACAGGTCTCTCTAGGATTATGTGGCTCTGATTAACTGGGCAGCCAGGTGTTTGCTGTAGCCCTGTCCCATGTCCCCCTCTCTCTCTGTCTCTTTCTTTCTCTCTCTTTCTCTCTCTGTGTGTTAAGGAATATGGATAAATAAATTAACTTTATTGTCCCCGAAGGGAAATCTTTCTTGGGCACAGTTGCTTTCAATATAAAACATCACAAACACTAGAAATCTGCACTCAGGTGTGTCTGCAACAACCACTTCTGTATTGTGTGATTGAATGAATATAACACACAACTGGCTAACCCCCCGTCGAGACACCAATGGACTGTAAGGTGCCTTAAAATACACTTCATTTAAACTCAAAAACAAGCGGTGATGTATGCAGGCAATCGGCTCAAAGTCAGCAGATGTACTCAGCAGTGTGTATACTGGAAGTTCTGTTCGCCAAAAGCACCGTCCAAAACAATAAAAGTAAGCAAACTGTTTTCCTCCACTGAGAGGTACTCAGCAGGGTTTGTATTTGCAGTCAACAGCAGTAGGTTCTAACAGGTTCTTGAGACAGTTCGTGGACAGACACTCACTCACGGACGCTCGCACACACGCACATACAAGTGAGAGATCGCTGCTTATTCTCCTGGCAGAGATAACAACATGAAACCATTTAACAACATACAGTAAGAAACATTAGACATTGGCAACACTGTAGATTAAAGTGCTTGTGTATTTATTGCATACTGCTCTTTAAGCTTTACTGGTGTTGAGCCTGATGGAGGCCCGATAGTTTAAAACTGTTGGTTTTGCACTTTGGCTCGTGTGTGAAACTGTTTGGATGAATCACTGGCAGAACGAATATGGGTGAGTAATAAAGACAATACCGTGTGAATGTGTGTGCGTCCTGTCCCTGAACTCTGTAATAATAACAGAGACGATGTAGTTCAAATGGAACCTTTAACCACACACGCGCACACACACACAGACGAGGAGGAGGAGGAGGAGGAGGAGGAGGTATGGAAGAAGGAGTGAGCGGGAGGAAGGGAGAGGTAGGAAGTGGTATGTTTTGACAGGAAAGCTGGTTAAATAGATTTTGGGATTGTGGTTTAGTGTGCGTGCGTGCGTGATTCCATCCATCAAATGTGAACGCACAATATCTCAGTTGTTATCACAGCACTACCACTTTAGCTGCTGTCCCCTTCCTCTGCCACATAAAGGCTCATTGGTGGGCCTGTCTCGACCAAAGACATTCTTTGATTCGGGCTAATCGACAGATCTGTAAAACCGAGTGTTTCCGTTACAGAATCACACAAAAGCACCACTTTGAATCTTGTTTACCAGAGAGGTTTTCACAAGTTTATTTTGTAAATAAGTCATTCAACATGAAAAAAATGACTAATCAACTTAAGAAATCTTAGTTTAATAAATCTAAAACAACTGATTAGTTGCCTTATTGACTAAGTGGGGGCAGCGCTACTCATTGTAATCAACTTCCCCCCCATCTGAGTAACTCCACCCACATTCTCAAGCCAATCAGAGCAGACTGGGAGCGTTGTCTTAAAGATACAGGCACGAAGAACGGAGCGTTTCAGACAGAGGGGGGGAATACAGGTTCAGACAGTTTTTGAGCAGTACTTTAAATGTCACCATGAGTGTTTTGACTGTATTCACGTGTGAATCATGCTATAATGTATTTCTGGATATGGAAAGAGCTTAACTGCCACACAGACCGTTATATCTTGATTGCGCTTGGCTGATGGATGAGGATGAGGCACATCTCATGAGTCTCTGCATCAGTCTGTGATGGAGTTTAGAGGCAAGTTCATTTGTGTTGCACCTGTCAAACACAGACGCTTCTAATTATAATTGCTTCACATAAGGGAATCAATGCATCACAGTGACATTTAAAAACACGATAAAGTATGAAAATACCATGTGTTTTGACACTCCAGAAGCTAAAAAACACATTAAGCTGTAGATCAAATCTTTTACAATATCTTTTGTGCCTTTGTACCTTCTGAACTGAGCCATGACATTTACACAAGCCATGGGATCTAATGTAATCCTCTTCCTCGCTGCTGTTTTCTTGCCAAAGATTGATTATAGCTCAAACGATATTGACGAAACAACGAGGAAAATCCATTTATTTATTGCCAAATGAAAGTGAGTAATCACAGAGAGTCGGAAACATTTCTGCTACTTCACCATGTTTGTGAACAACTTCATGTAAAAGCTTGATTTTCTCCTTTAATACAACATGAGACGAGCGTTTTTGATGCCGTTTTGAGTAAAGATGCACCGATGACATACCTGGGCTTTGGGTGTCGGCAGGGTACCGATCCTACACTTTCAGTAAACATACAATCTTTTATTTCCTAATCATTTGAATTGTGTGTTTTTATGCAAATAACCACTATGGATGACAGTAACAAAGTTAAAGGATAACATTTAGAATATTTGACGGTTTACACTTCAGAGCGGTTGAAATGATTTTTCGTTATGGTGGAGGAAGAAACGCAGTCTGGAGCTTTGTATACCAGCTGCTATAAACAAAACACTTACTCAACGATCTGTATCTGACAAAAGAACGTGATCAGAGATCTCTTAACGTCTCCATCTGTGACTCAAGTTTGAGTGAGTTTAGAGTCCGTTGCACCTCGATCCAAACCCAGAGTTTAATTAATAAGCTGAACGCTTATTAACTGTTTGGGAGTGACCGAGATCATTCTTTTATGTGTAAGGCAACGTCGGGCTTGACTTAAACATTGCTTTCCGTACTTGTTTAGGTTGGTCGTGTGATATGTTGCAGTGGAACTTGGCAAACTCTGCTCGACAAACAGTAGAAAACGGAACATTCCTGCAGGTTGATGTTCTGCTTGTTGGTCACATGTTGTGATGAACTGCTGCTGTTTCCTCTCTTACGTGTGAGGCTTTTATTGCGTTTGAGACAACCAGAGTTCTCAGCATCTACTAGAGTCAGATGTCTTCTTCTCTCTGATCATGATGTGAGTCTCACGCTGTACTGAGCCGGAGACAAAGAGACAGAGAGAGGACGTTTGAGACGAGGACATCTCACTACAGAACTTCTAAAGCCCTGAACACAAAACAACAGGTTACCCTGTTCAGCACAGAATAAATCACCACCGATTGCACAGTTGTGCCTAACTTGTCAACAACAGGGGCAGCGACCCGTCATGCGGGGATGAATGGGTTTTGTTGGAACCATTACATCATCAACAACAAACCAAACGCTGCTAAAAGACACATGCTCCGTGTGCTCAGAGGCATCTTCTGGTTGCTGGGTAGACTGAGTTTGCCCCCGGTGGTCCGTGCTATCTTTATCCCCTCCCCAGCGTTTCCACTCTCGACGTTCTGAGTGAGCTGTTGAATTATCCATGAGGTCTCAGGCAAGCTGAAGGCAGGATGGCAGTTGTATGAAACTCTCTCTGAATGTGTTTATGGGCATAATGAAATTTCTTTTCTTTAAATAGTTCTCCGGCTTCCTCCTTGGCTCTTTTCTTCTTTCAGCCCCAGTTCTCCACAGCGGCTGAACAAGCCGCTCTATTCGGCCCCGATGCCAGTTGACACCTCAGCGCCGCAGCTTTTCAGGTGTCAGGATGGACCTTCAGGGGAAGATTCTGCTTCTAAACTTTATTCATCATTTCATCTTCGTTGTGATGCTGACATTGCCTTTGAAATGTAGATCATATAGTAGGAGAGGATCAAGATCTGATTGTTTTCCTTCATTGCATCTCTAATTTGTTCTGCGATGGTAATAGAAATAGATTTACTTCCAATGGATTCATACTCCTTAACCCTCCTGGAAGGAATTCATGGTGTTGTTAACTTGTTTTGTACGCGTACAAAGTGACAGAGACATGAATGGAAAAGAGGAGCGAGAGGGAAGAGTTAAGTGTTCAGAAGTTTGACCATCTTCGGCACATTAAAATGATCATGCACTCTGATTCTGTCACAATCGCACATCTTTCCAAATAATCGCAATTAGATGTATTTTCAAAACCGTTACAGTGTTTTAAACTCTGCATCCTTCACAGCATCCCTAAATTAGTATTTTTCCGAGGCATTAGGCCGACTTACAGCAGACACAATCCTCACCCAATTAGCAGCTCGTCGTTGCACCTCTTTTTGAGGAAGGAGCCCTCGCTCCCGTGTGCTTATAAACCCCCTCGCTCCTCCTCAGCATCAGCCGGTGGTGAGATGTACTCCCCTGATGGTTTGGAGCGAGGGGTGGTGGTGGTGGGGTGGGTGTGGAGGAGGACTCCGGAGGGACGGGTGGGGGTCTCGTTTGGGACAGGGGGGTGTCAACTCTTTTGTTCCGAGGCTTGTTAGAGCAGTGGGGTCTTGGCGGTTAAGCCTTGTTTACCCTCTGTGAAGCCGGCTCTGAGCTAACAATAGCGGCGGCGGTCCAGATATAGAGAGCCGGGCTTTGACGAGTCATCGAAATTCAACCGTACGCAGAGACACCGTGTCTCTCCGAATAGATCAAATCCGACTCGTTCCCCAAGCCGCCCGGCTGTTCCTGTAAATATCTGCTGCCGTCCGGTTAATGGAGATATTTTGTTTCCCGGCTCGTTTGAGCTCTCATATATGCTTTGCCACTAACGAATGACTTGACATTATTTGGATTGTCTGCGTTACTGCAGAATGAAAGCGGTTGAATTATCCGACTAATACTCAGATCACAGACTGAAACAGAAAGCTGTGATTGTTCCGATTATCGGTGGAACTGGGCTCCGACAGCGGCCACGGAGCTCCGTAGACGTACATACTGTGAATATGTGTGTGCATGGGGAGCTCCAGACATAAATGCACGAGAGACTTTAGAATTACGTGTACGATATTTATTATTTAGATAGTTTGACCTAAAAATTAATTTCTTAAATATATAATGCAAAGCTGTAAGCTCTTTTTCCTCAATAGGGCTGCACGAATAAGCGAAATGTTATCCGAATCGCAATATGGCCAAAAATTGTCAAATTGCAGGAGGCGAAATGTGTTTGTGAATTACATATTGTGCTGCTGCAGGGACGTCCTGGCCTTCACATCGTATTCTACGGACTTAAGAAAAGACAGACAATCAGGGGAGGAAAATAAATCATTAAACTGCTAATTTACTGACCAATTTAGCGTCCATTCCTGAAATAAAATCGCACACTTTAGGATCCTGCTTACCATGCAAAAGGCACCAGTTTAATGGTTTGAAAGAGTAGCATTTAGGGGGAATATCGGACGATTAATTGGCTTTTTTTCTGCTCCAAACGACCGCTTTAATATCGGCCTTTAGGAACCCAACTATCGGTGGACCTCTAGCTTGTAGCCGACGTTATTCAGGCCATGGATGATGTTTTCTGGATTTACCCGGTGCAGCGTGTCACAGACAGCTGGCATGATGTCTCCGAGAGGTGCTGGATGTTTGACGTACACGTGAGGCTCATGGAGCTCGTACAGTAGGTTCAGTCTGCTGGTCTGATTGATTGCAGACGATCTGTGTTAATAAAGGAAAAAGATTTCAGTTAGACACTTGATTTAAAAAAAGAAAAATATGATAAACAAACTAACAAATTAGGAGTAAGTTAAAACAAGTCTGTTTATTAAAGTGTCAAGTGTATATTTAAGTGAAGATGAGGCTACGGCTGCAGCCAAGATTTTTATTATCATTTGTTGAGCTATTTTTTTAATTAATTGTTTAGTATGTAAAGTATCAGGAGATATTAATAAAAGATTCAAATCCCAAGGATATAAAACTGATGTTTTTTCCTCATGTTTAATTATTAAGGTAAAGATGTCGGCCATATTATCCGCCCAGAGAATTGTTTTTGTTGCTGCTGTTTACATTCCTCCTGATGCTAATTTAATATAAATGCGCTTTGGGAAGTTACGTATGTTTTTGCTTTGTTTTGTTTGTCATATGTTTGTTGTGTTACAAATGTGCTACAGCTGACTTTGGTTGTGCATGCCTGTGTTGCATAATGACAGTGATGATGTTAAACCTTCAGTTGCATAATTGATTAATTGATCATTTCAGCACGAGATAAAAACTGTCTTTTGTGTAATTCTACCAAGCCCGGCTCACCCGTTTTTAGTGAAATATTGCGTTTTATCTGCTGTCACCTGACTTTGTGCGTATTTTCTTCTTCTTCTTGCAGCTGGAGATGGAGAAGCTGCAGCTCCAGAGTCTGGAGCAGGATCACCGCAAGCTGTCGGCACAGCTGAAGGACGAGCGCGAGAAGAACAAGCACATTGTCATGATGCTGGTGCGCGAGTGCAAGCAGCTCGCCACGCGGGTGGTGGAGGAGTCGCAGCGCTTCGACGAGCTCCAGGCCCGCCTGGACGAGGAGGGCCGCGCCTCCGGCCGGCTGCAGGAGGAGCTGAGCACCGAGCGGCAGCGCGGCCAGCAGATGGAGGCCAAGATGGAGAAGCAGCTGTCAGAGTTTGACACGGAGCGGGAGCAGCTGCGCGCCAGGCTGGGCCGCGAGGAGGTGGAGAGCCAGAGTCTGCGGCAGCAGGTGGAGCAGCTCAGGACTGAACAGGGCGATGGGAAGGATGGCGCCGCCGCTGTCGCCGAGCCTGCTGCTGCTGCTGCCGGAGTAGAACCTGCAGCCGCCGCCAGCACGCCACCCAAACCTAAAGCTGTGACATCTGTTTCCGTAGCCACAGATCCCATAAGCTCTCGAACAGCGTCCTGCCAAACGGACCTTCCCCCCGCCGAAGTGGAGGTTCCCAAGAAGAACCCCCTCACCATCCCCGTCAAACCGAGCCCCACCAACTACGTGGGCCTGAGTCTGCCAAAGACCAGCGGTCGGGGGATCGTCCACAGCAGCTCAGGAGGACTGGCGCAGACGGAGAACGGCTCGGAGGGCCAAGCCCTGCACGGCTTACCCAGTGGGGTCAGCCCCCGCGTCCAGGCGGCCCGCTACAAGTTCCAGGAACAGGACCAAAACGGCACGCCGTCCCAGAGCCCTCCGGCCCGTGACCTCTCCCCCACCCCGACCAACCGGGACAACTTCGCCGCCAAGCAGCAAGCGCGTCACACCGTCACGCAGGTCCTCTCGCGCTTCACCAGCCCTCCGGCGGGAGGCGGCGGACCGCTGCGTCCGGGCCTGCCACACTCCGCATCAGAGGGAGGCCCTTTCCCCGGCCGCCTGAGCCACCCCATCGGCCTCAAGTCGCCCACGGTGGCCAGGATCGACCGGGGAAACCCGCCCCCTATCCCTCCCAAAAAGCCGGGCCTCTCCCAGACCCCCTCTCCTCCTCATCCACCCATCAAGGGGTTGGGGGACGGCAGCCGCTCCCCCGCGGTCGGGCTCAAACCGGCCACGCCCCAGCTGCCGCCCAAACCCGCCATGGACCTGGTCCCAGCCCTGACGGCCTCTCAGGTGGGTGCCTGCCCCCATTCCCGCTCAGGCCGGGGCTCTCAGCATCAGCCGGCGGCAGCATGCGCAGAGTGCCCCCCCATCATCAGCCCCGCCACCACTGTCAGTAGCCCCTCCTCCATAAACCCCCCCTCCACCTCCTCTTCCATTAGCGCTCCATCCTCCCGTAGCCCCCGAGCCTCAGCGGGCAGCCCCCTGGCAACAGCATCAGGTAAAGAGGCTCCTCCACGCTCCGTCTCCCTCCAGATCTCCCCGCTGCCTCTTTTCTTCGACTGTCTTTCCACGGCTCTAGCATAGCATAGCATAGCATAGCATAGCATAGCGATCAGGTTACAGGCAATCTAACCACAGGAATACGAGGCAGAATAGGTCGTGGGTCAATTCAGTTTAATGTCACTGACACTCTCCCTCAACTCTAAAGCACCTCACTGCTCTCTCTCTCTACTCATCCCTCCTCCTCCTCCTCCTCCTCCTCCTCTGCCCTTAATACGTCCTCCCTCTGGGGCCCCCTTTCGTCCACCATGTTGTCACGTTAGCCCCGTCGGTGTCGGTATCCACAGCGGACATTGACCACATGGTGCTAAATATGTCGCTCGGGGTCTAGAGGTTAGCCGTCCCTCAGCAGGCAGGAGTGAGGTGAGGTGAAGCAGACGTTTACGCCGTCTCGAGTAGTCAGATTGGTTTCCTTGGCCTTTTCCCACCAGTAACCCCTGTCCTCTCTGAAGCTGATGCCAGAGGCTGCTCTCTCCTCCTCCCCCCCCTCCTCCATCCTTCAGTAGCATGACCACTCCACTACTTCCTGCACATCCTTCAGCTTCCATTAACTCGTCCGTTCCGCCTCCCTTTTTCCATCATTGGCTCTCTGTGTGTCATTTTGCTGTATAAATGTGAGCATTTATATTTACCTTGTGACGTGCTTTCGGTGCTCTGCTTGATTTTACCGTGTAGTTTGATTACAGAATAATTCCAGTTTATTACAACTTTGGTCTTATTTTCATAGTTTGGGCCGTCATTTCTGTCTGTAATAATTCTAATAACCATGAACAGTTTATTTATATTATTTATTTAGACGGGTTGTAAACAAACCTTCCAAAGTTATTTGGCAGAGAAAACAAAGGTCAACTAATTATTACGCAAGCTGTTTACAGAATCCCTTCTTCTCGGTTCAGACTGGCCCACTAACTGTTGCACACTCACAGTTTAACCTCAGAATGAGCAGGTTTAGAGAAGTGCTTCGGCTCGACTGATCGTCCGGCTGCTCCTGTTTCCTCTTGTTGTCGGTGACGTTGCTGCTCTTCACAGGTATCGTATGTGAATGAAATGACCACAGTCGCAATAAACTGGAATCATCCTGAAATGTACCTGTGAAATGTGCAAGTCCTGTTCTTTTTGCATGCAGATGTGTCCCTACAAAACCGTAGTCCACAAACCAATGGGTAACGTGATGG